AGAGGTAGAGGGAGGCAGGAGGGTGGGGGTCAGGGAGAGTGTCTGTGATTGAATTTTAAATGGAGCTCTGAACTCTGACTTGCTGGGTGTCTCTGCTGAGTCACTTGACCTCTCTAGGCCTCAGTTTCCTTACCTGTAAAACAGAAATAATAGTAAGTGGCCTACCACACAGTCTTCATCAGTTCAGCCAGCTCCATGTGGAAGCCACTGGGAAGCACCACACACACATAATCCCCACTACAAACAGGTGGGCAGGGGCCCCAGGGCCTCAGGGAGTGGGCACAAGAGGGTCACAAAGTCCCCGCCCTGCTGTCCAACAGTTGCAGTCCGAGGAGCTGGGCCTCCGGGCCCCGCAGTGGGTCCGGGACAAGATGGTGACCATGTGCATGCGCTGCCAGGAGCCCTTCAACGCCCTGACGCGCCGTCGCCACCACTGCCGGGCCTGCGGCTATGTGAGTACTCCTGCCAGCTCCCCTGCCTCTGCCTGTCCCACCTTGCCTCCGCCCTCCCTGCTCAGGCCCTGCTCTCCCCACTCTCCCCTCCCCGCCAACCCTGCCAGCTTCAACCAGGGCAGCCTAAAAGTGCTGGGTGCAAGCCCCGTGCCAGGCGTGTAGCTACCTCATGTGGCCCTCACAGCATCCACCTGTGAAGCAGGGCCTGCACTATCCCCATCCCACAAACGGGGAGATGAGTCACAGAGAGATTAAACGACTTGCTCCAGGACACTCCCCAAAGTGACCCTATTAATTCACCACCATTTCCCGAGGCCCCCAGATCCAGCACCAGGAAATGGCCTCTAGCTCCAGGGTGGGGTGCATCCAAACCCCTCAGCCCTGCTCAGGCTTTGCACCCACCAACCATCTCATCAGCTCCATGCCTGCGCTAACCACCCCTTGTTGTCCTCTCTTCTTGACTGACCCCAGCTAACCGTCCCCTCTTCTTCTTGGCAAGTCCTCAGCACTCCAGCATGTGATCAGCTCTATTGCTAAGTCTGCCCACCAGGTTCGGCCCTCAGTTTCCTCATCTGTTCAATGGGGGTTAGAATAGACACCTCCCGGATGCTGGTGAGGACTTGACAAAAGAAGGTGCACTCCCTTCTCCCTTCTCCTCTTCCTTTCCTTCCCCCTCCTCAAGAGTTCAGGCAGGGCTCAGTCAGGGGAGTGAGTCACCAGCTGATTGAGGAAGGGACCTGTCCACTCCACTGGTCCCTTTTATCAGCTCAAGCCCAATGATCACAGGCAGATCTTGCTTTGCTTTTTAAGCACCTGCTGCACTTGAGCTGTACTCTGCCCACATCACAATCCCCTCCATTTACTCTGCAAACAGAGAAGCCCTTTACAACCTTAGTCTTTAATGACTTCCTGGGGACAGGAGACCAGCTGGGCAGGTTGGGTCAGGGAGGTGTCCCCAAAAAGTGTTAAACGGCAATCAGGACACAAAGTAAATTTCCAGGACTGGAGACACACCTATGTTCAGATGTAAGTGACAAATTACATCCCAGAGCCAAATAGAAACGTTCTAGGGATTAACCACTGTTCTTGGTGATTCTGTCTGTAAATAAGAGTTGAGTCGATTCACACTTGTGGCTTTGTAATTATGTAGTTCCTTAAAAATTATTTAAAATAGTTAAGAAATACAAAAAGGCACAAAGAATAATATAACAATACCCACGACCCTACCTTCCAGGTACATGGAAGAAATAAAATATTCTGACAGCTAAATGAAACATGTGATCCTTGATTGGATCCTGATGGGGAAAACGAAACCAGCTACAGAGGTCATTATTGGGACCGCTGGGGGAAATTTGGTTATGAGAACCATATGTAGATAATATTGTATTGATGTTAAATGTCCCAAGTGTGAACATGACATCGTTGATGGGCAGGAGAGTGTCCTTGTTCTTAATTGATATCAGCTACATATTTAAGGGTCATGATCACTATAATTTATACTCAAATGGTTCAGAAAAAATGAAAACACACACACACACACACAGAAAGACAAAGCAAATGTGGCAAAAATATTAACAACTGGGGAATTAGGTGGTGGTGGGGGGTATCATTGTATTATTCTTTCAACCTGTTTGCAGGTTTGAAATTTTTCAAAATATAAAGTTGGAAGAAGAGAAAATAAATAGACTAATACTATAAAAAGGTTAACTCTCAATAAAAAATAAAACACTCCCAAAGCAGTTGAAGCCCCTTAGGTGAGGCTGTGTGAGATATCCTTGGTCCAATTTTGGGGTTTCTCCCGCCTGTGCATACCTTTGTACTCTGTGAGTCATCCTTTCGGTGGTTTGGTGGTTTGGTGCCCAGTTTCTGTCTCCCACCTGCCAGACGGGAATCCTGGTGAGGGTGGGGCAGGCCCAGGACTCATCCTGTGGGGCCCTCCCAGGTTACGTGCTGTGCTGGGCACACAGAGGAGCTCCCTGATGAATATCCCTCCCCCTTCATCTCTATCTCTTGCTCCCTGTTTCCAAGCCCACATCCTGGACTCACTGTGACACCCCTGTCTTCCTGGAAGTCACACCCTGCAGCACCCCGTGTTTCTCTCCGAGTCTCGTCAAGCCTCTTTCACCCAGTCTCCCCAACATGGTCCACATGAGGCCTTCTTGGGGGCCTCTCTATGGTGGGCTGGGAATGGGCCCCACCCCACAGAGACCCTGGCAGGTCTCCCTGGCAAAAACAACCACCCCATCATTTTTATATTAGAACACCCTTGACTCTAGGATTGAGTGGAATGCAAAATTTGCATGAATCTTAAAAAGCTAACCCGCTGAAGGGCCAGTTGCTGCCAGTGAGCTGTGTGGCCCTCAGCAAGTCGCTGGCTGTCCCCTCTGGGCTGCCCTATGCTCCTCACTGTCGGGTAAGGATAAAAGCCCCAGTGCTGTTCACCTGGGGGTGCTGCTGGGAAAGTCAGATGAGATGGCAGAGGGGACAAGGAGGACTTGGAGAAGTGAATCAGATGCAAGGGGTGTGTTCAGGGCAAGCCCCTGGGATTAGCATCTGCCTTCCCAAAAGGGGAACTTGAAGGGAAGAGAACTTGAGGCACCTGCAGTGGGGTCCAGGCCTCAAACCCCCATCTTGGGGAGCCAGAATCTGAGCTCTCCCCCTTCACTGCTGCCTCCAGGTAGCTGGGCCTCTGCCAGCAAGGGAATACCCGTCTCTGCTTCCATTCCTCTCCTGAATCTTGCTGTATCTTCCTCCTGTCCTGGCTGCTCTCACACCCCCACCTCACTGGCCCAGGTGCAAGCACAGTCCTCCCCTGCCTCACCTGAGGCCTCAAGCCCCTCCTGCCTGTCTTCCTCCAGGTGGTGTGTGCCAGGTGCTCTGACTACCGGGCTGAACTCAAGTATGATGACAACAGGCCCAACCGAGTCTGCTTTGACTGCTACACATTCCTCACCGGAAATGTGCTCCCTGAGGACAAGAGGCGGGGCATCCTGGAGGTGAGGGCCACCACTCCTCCATTCGGCAAATGGGTGCAGGATGTCCCCCCACCATACATGCTGGCACTGTCCTAGGTGCTGAGGAAAAGCCAGCTGTGGTCACACTCTTCCTCCTCGCTCTGCCCGCAGACACACCCCCATCCCTTCCCCCCACCCCCAAACAGAGCTGGGCCTGGCACCAAACTGAAGCAACTTTTGGCTGCAGGCTGTTCTGGCTCTTCCACCTCTCCTCTGTGTCCCCATCCAATAATCTCACAGCCCCTCGGACAGTTCCTGTTCACGTCCCCATACCCTGGCCAACAGTCCCAGGAGGTGAAGAGAGCTGGTGTTACTGAGTCCACTGTACAGACGGGGAAACTGAGGCTGTAGGTCAGGCTCCCACTGTTGGAAAGAGGCTGACTGGGGAATCCATTCTAACTGGAAGGGACTTCAAGGACCTATCCCAGGCCCATGGAGGTGACTGGCCCCAGGTCACACAGCAAGTTAGGGGCCAGCTTTCTGACCTTGCCGCAGACGTCCTTCCTGCTGCCCTTGGGGCCTCGCTGAGCCACTCTCCATCCCACAGTCACCCCGCCAGTCTGCTCCCTCATTGCCAGTCAGCACCGATGGGGCACTAACTGTGTTCAACTACCTGCTACAAATACAGTGGAACTCAGCCCTGACACTGGTTACCACTGCCCACGGCCCCTCCCTCATTAAAGTCCAGATTGACTCCCCACTGTCCCTGGGAGGTGGGAGAAGACCCCAACCTATTCCAGCAGACCCCAGCTCCCAGGTTTCATGTTGGTTCCTTTCCACAGACATCTGCCTGCTTTCGAATCCTCTCCATTCTTTTATTTCCAGCCCCTGCTCATGCCCTCTCTAACCCCTATGCCATACAGCCTGCCTCTGGAGAGAGGGGATGGTCAGCTCCCCCTCTCAGGCCCCCCGTTCTGTTCCCTGGGGGAACTTGCGGGTGATAAGCCCTCCCAGCACCGACCCCAAGTTCAGGCTGGCCGGGATTTGACCGCAGCTCTGCCACTGGCCAGCTGTATGACCACAGGCCCACGATGGGACCCCTCTGAGCCTCAGGAAACAGCCCCTCCTTGCACTGTTGCTGCAGGCCTTAGAAGTAGTGATTGTCAAGCCCCCGGACCAATGTCTGTCACGTAGTGGTGCTCTGTTCCCTGACAGCCCCTCTCTCTGCTTTTAGAAAGGGTCCCCGGCGGGATCCGAGCAGAGCCTAATGTGCAGCTTCCTGCAGCTCGTCGGGGACAAATGGGGCAAGAGCGGCTCCCGGGGCTGGTGTGTGATCCCCCGGGACGACCCCCTCGTGCTCTATGTCTACGCTGCCCCTCAGGTAATGCTGCCACCTGCCCCCAACCCCCAGGCCTTGGCCTCCTCAGTGGGGCGGGGTGCAAGGGGCGGGAGGGTGAGTACTGTTGGCCCAATATGTCAGATGAGGAAACCGAGGCCCAATGAAGACATGGTTCCCTCCAATCACAGGATTCATGGCTTCCAAAGCTGCTCCCAGACTCTAGGTCACAACCGCTTTGCCCTCAAGGGACAGCCAATTCTCCTCTTCCTTGCCAGCTCCCGCCTGCCGCCCTGCCTCCTGAGCGTGTGGGGAGTGAGAGGGGGGTGTGTGTGGCTGTGACATCACATGGCTGAGGCGGGAGGGGGGGGGCTGAGTGGGAGGACAGCTGCCCACAGCTCTCTCCTCCCTCCCAGGATATTCGGGCTCACACCTCCATCCCCCTGCTGGGCTACCAGGTGACCACAGGGCCCCAGGGGGACCCCCGGGTCTTCCAGCTGCAACAGTCAGGCCAGCTCTACACCTTCAAAGCCGAAACTGAGGAGGTGAGGGGCCGCTGGATGAAAGCTATGGAGCGGGCGGCCAGCGGCTGGAACCCCGAGGAACCCAATGACGGGGATCTGTCTGACTGAGCCACAACCAGCCGCTCTCCCCCTCAGAGCCTGGCTCCTGCAGCTCCGTGACCCTCCACTCCAAGCTGAGTTTTAAATAATCGGTTTCTAGTCAACTGACCCAGACCATGTGTCCTGATTTGGGATTAAGAAAACATAGGTCCATTCCTTTGGGAAGGGATGGAAGGGTGACCAAACTCCTGGTTTGCCCAGCGCGGAGGGGGTTCCTGGGACATGGGACTTTCAGTGGTAAAACCAGCAAAGTCCCAGGTTACCCAGGACTGTTGATCACCAGTGTGGTTCTCAGCTTGGGCTGCACATTAGTATCACCAGAGATATTTAAAAAACACCCATGGAAAAATATAAAAATAAACTAAAAATTAAAAAACCAAAACAAAAAACCAATGCCTGTAGCCATCATCAAAGATTTCTGATTTAATTGGTCTGGGATGGGGGAGGCACGGGTATGTTTCAGGAGTCCCCATAGCCTGGGTTACCCAGATGAAGAAGATAGAAAGCAAACGACCACTGGTTGAGCACCTATCACGTGCCAGGCACGGTAGTAATACTAATAATAGTAAATAATAATAAACATCTCCTGGTCCAGGCCCTGTGCTAGGTGTTTTACATGGATTATCTCATGTCACCCTCAGGAGTTATAATCCCCACTTTCCAGATGGGGACACTGAGCCTTAGAGTGGTTTAGTCATTAGCTCAAGGTCACACTGCTGGTGGATGTCAGAGCCAGCTTTTAACCCTGTGCACTACGGTCAAAGCTGTTTCCACCAGGTAGCAGAGCAATAGGGCAAGCAGAGAGGGGAGTCAAGTGAGACAGGAAAAGGAAGGAAAGAGGGAAGAAAAGAAGGGAAGGTGGGAAGAAAGGGGGGAGGAAGGGAGGTCAAGAGCACCTCTTTGGCTCTCTGGTTGGTGTGTGAGGCTGCTTTTCCATAAGGGACCACCAGGGGGTGGTAGTGGTCAGCAGGCCACAGGCAGGGGCCCCAGCCTGGGGCCCTGACCTCCTAAGTGGCTTCCATCAGGTGCAAACACTGCTGGGCACCGCCCTTGAAGAAGGCAAAATGGCCAAGTCATAGATCTTTGCCCCCTTCCAGGCCCAGCAGTTTCCCTGCCCCCAATCTGAGGCTACCTACCTCCCTCCTATAGGATGTTTTTGAAATTCCAAGAAAACCTCATTGGCCCAGGCTGGCCATGAGTTCATCCTTTCATTCAACAAATATTTGTTGAGCATCTTCTAGGAGCCAAATGCAGTTCCTGTACTGGGGATACAGCAGTTAAGGAGACAAACAAAAATTTCTGCCTTCATGGAGTTTATACGCTAGTGGGGGAGATAATCAACAAAATAAATATGTAAAATGTAGAGTATATCAGATGTGATAAGTGCTTAAATATGGTGACAAACCATCCCAGACTTAATCTAGTTTTAAAACTGAAAGTGTCAAGTCCCAGGAAACCCTGCAGTTCCAGGCAAACCAGGATGGTTGGTCACCCTAGTAGAAGAAGAAAAAGCATGAAAGGGAATGAGGGAGAATGGTGTGTGTGTGTGTGTGTG